CCATAATTACTATGCTGAAACTTAACATCATATGTAAATACAATTGTATCTGTCAGTTTTACCTATTATTTCAATACTATTCAATTATCAACCATCTTCTATCATTCCTATAGTCTGTTTTTGTGTTTTTATCTGATATTTGTGTATTGGATATTTTGATGTGTCATTAGTTTACATGCTTTCTTTATTCAGAATATACTAGGCCAAGCAATGTTGCAGGTGGGGAAGACACTGCAGACAAAATCCAATAGTCTGTTTTTGTGTTTTTATCTGATATTTGTGTATTGGATATTTTGATGTGTCATTAGTTTACATGCTTTCTTTATTCAGAATATACTAGGCCAAGCAATGTTGCAGGTGGGGAAGACACTGCAGACAAAATCCAAGCCTTATCTCACAGAGCTTACATTTAAACAGGGAGACAGATAATAAACAAGTAAATGGACAAATAAAAGATTACAATGATGAAGATATGACACAGAGTAAAGGAGTAGGTAAAGATAGAAGTGACAGGCATTATGTTGTTTTAGAGGGAGTAACAGACCTAAAGGGGGACAGTAGTGAAGAGCTCCCTAATTGTAAGGACAGTTTGAAGAAAGACTCCAGGCTGAAACAAGGTGGCACTAACGTGAGGACAGCAGGATGGCCAGAGAGGCTGGCCAGAACACTTGTGAGGGAAGAGAGTAGTATCTGAGGCCAGGTGGGAGGGACAGTAAGTAAAGTGGTTGAGGCTCATGTCAGTTCCTGTGAAAGGTGATGGCAATCCACATTGGGCAGCTGGGGTAGAAATGGTGAGAAATGCTTAGATTTCTGTGAACCGAGAAGGAAAGGCACAGATGGGATGATTCCTGGGTTTGTTTCCAGCAGGAATAATTTCTAGGTTTTCTTTTGAATGGGTGTTATTTGCAGAAAGGGAGGGGCTGAGGGAAGAAGAACTTTGGTGATAACATACCCAATTCTGTTTTACTGAGATGATAGTAAGCTAGGCAAGTAGACAAGGAGCAGTGCCTGGGGTTGGGTCTTTGGAGCCATCTGCACAGTGATGATGAGATAGCGATTAGACTTGGGGACATACCTGGAGGGGGGGTAGGAGGAGAACACAGTGCCCACCCCTCCTTTCCCAATCGGGGACCTGATTGAGGATGGCACCAGAGGCTGGAGAGTTCTTGCCAATGAAGTGGAAAGAGATCTGGAAGTTAAGAAGATATTTCTGGAAGGGAAGTTAGGGCAAGGTTTTGTAGACTTGAGTTTTTTATTTCATGTGTTTTCTTATTCTCCTTATTATGTAATTAAGTTTCTACTGCTAACCAAATCTCCATGCCTCTGAAAATGCAGCTCTTTTTTTTGTAACTGGAAACATACTCCATAATCATCCTAGAGTACTGATGTTCCCCAATTTAGGATTTTTTGACTTTACAGTAGTACAAAAGCTGTATATATTCAGTAGAAACCTTACTTTGGATTTTGAATTCGGTCTTTCCCAGGGCTAGTGATATGCAGTTCACCTCGCCCCACCCTACTCTTTCTCTCTCCTGGAAAGAGGCAGTGAGACCCTGCTTGGGTCATCACTGTGATCATAAGGGTTAACCACTGATTCTCTACAGTGGCTATATTGCTAAGCTAGGATGTGATATAGGTTAGGTGTATTAATTACCTTTTTAAAAAAATTTACAATGGGTTTATCAGGAAGTAACCCCAACATCAATCCAGGAGCACTTGCCTTGGAAATAATGTATCTTTTAAGTTACTCATTTTGACTCTCAGACATTACTTTAGCTTAGTTCGGGGATCAGAAAACCTTTTCTATAAAGGGCCAGGTAATATTTTCAGCTTCATGAGAAATGCATTCTATATAGCATCTATTCACCTCTGTAGTTACAGCATGAAAACAACTGTGGAAAACATGTAAAGGAATGAATACAGCTCTGTCCTTATAAAACTTTACTCCTCAAAAACAAGCAGCTGGCCAGATTTTGCCCATGGCTCTATATATCTGGACTTTCTGGTGTAACCTTTAAGAGTTGATCAAGCTATAAAGTACTGGTTTAATTTTTTTTAAAGAAAGAAATCAATTAAATTTGGTATGTTAAACACTTTTTAAACTATTGCCTTTTATCAGTCAGTTTTAGCCTCCAAAATTTTATCAAGCATATACTTTATTCTCAATGGAGTTACATAAAAATTTGGAAACAGGTAGTCATCTGTCATCTCTCCCCTCCACCCCCTGTCATCACTTGCTTTATTTGCTTGCATCAGGTTACTTTTAATCCTTCTCTATGAGTATGTTCTCTGAATAATGTCCTGCTGCTTATGTTAAGTAGTGCAGAATTTCCATATTATAAGTTCCAAAGGTTGAGGGAATGTTTGGTTCATCATGAATATAATGCACAGGTATATAAAACATCACATAGAAATTACATTTGCCATGAGTGTACCATGGTGCCCTACTACTTACTGTTATTTCTGTTTCCATTTAAGTGCTTACCTGTTTTTAGGGTTAAATAATAAATTTTTATGAACTGCTTAGAACAGGTCTGTTCCATACTAATGACTTAAATAATCCTAGCTGTTGTTTTCATGTAGCTATTGATGCCCTCTGTCCTGAGGTCTTCTGAGTGTACTGTATCCTCAACATGGAGTCATGGCCTTTCCTGTGAATAAAACAGCCAAATGTCCAGACCATTTAGTAGGGAGATGATAACCTTTTCAAAAAATGGTGCTGGAACAACTGGATATCCATCTGCAAATAATGAAGTTGGACCCCTAATCATATAAAGTAACTCAAAATGTATTATAGAAATAAATGCAAGGCCCAATTGTATGGGAGGCTGATATTAGAAGGATTGTGATTTGAGGCTAGCCCAAGCAAAAAGTCCGTTAGATACTATCCCAACCGAAAAAGCTTAGTGTGATGGTGCATGCCTATCATCCTAGCTACTGTAGGCAACATAAATAGGAGGATGGTGATCCAGGCTTGTGGGCAAAAATTGAGATCCTATATAAAAAATAACCAAAGCTAAAAGGAGCGAACATATGGCTCAAGTGGTAGAGCACCTGCCTAGCAAGTGCAAGGCTCTGAGTTCAAATTCCAGTACCTCCAAATACATACATACATACATACGTGCAAGGATTAAACAATAAAACTCTTAGAATAAAACATAGGAATGAGTCTTCATGATCTTGGGTTAAGCAAAGTATTCCTAAATATGATACCAAAAACACAAGTGACAAAACAAAAAGTAGGTAAGTTAGACATTTTGGCTTCATAGATAGGCCACCATTTAGAAAGTGAAAAGACAAACCCTACAATGAGAGGAAAACATTTCAAGTTTTATATCTGTTAAGGGACTTTATCCAGAATATATAAGGAAGTTTTACAATTTTGCAGCAATGTCTAATTTAAAAATAGGAAAAGGATTCAAGTATACATTTCTGTAATGAAAAACAGAAAAAACACATGAAAAAATGCTCAGTATCATTAGTCATCATGAAAATGCAGATCAAAACCACAAGGAGGTACCATTTTACACCATTAGCGTGGCTGTAATCAAAATCATACCACAACAGTTGTTGGTTAGGATGTGAAGAAATTAGAACCCCTAGTCATTGCTGGTGAGAATGTGAAATGGTGCTACCAGCTTGGGAAAGAGACTTGGTAGCTCCTCAAAATGGTAAATATTGGTGTTACCATGTGGCTTAGCAACTCCACTCCTAGGTATTGATACACAAGAGAAATGAAAACTTTAGATGATAAAAGCCAGTTACAACAGCACACAATCTGTAGGATTCCTTTTTTATGAACTGTTCACAACAGGTAAATGTGTAGAGGCAGAAAACAGATTGTTAGTGGCTCTCTGGGTCCAAGTGGGAGTTGGGGGTAATGTCTGATGGATAGTTTCTTTTGGGGATGATGAAAATGTTCTATAACTAGATGGTAATGGTGTACATATGGCCATGAGTATATGTAAACCACTGAATTGCAAACTTTACAATGGTGAATTTTATGGTATGTAAATTGTATCTCCATAAAGTATTTAAGAATAAAATGGTCCTGGATCTGCCCTCATGGCTTTGAAAGATTATGTGTGAAACATACCTTTTTTCTTTTTTTATTTCATAGTTGCTACCTGGACTTTAGTTACAGCTCAGTTTTATAGGCTGAGTCCCTAGTGAGCTCTTGCCCTACTTTCCACGATCTGTATACTTCTACTCAGGGTACACTCAAGACCAGGAAATGATGAAGGCCGGCGGCCTTATGTTGCACTGAGAGGTTTTTCCACAAGGCAGTAAATATACCAGTGACAAAGGTTTTCAGCTGATTAATTTTAGGGATTTAATATTAGGTTAATTTTTTAATTGTGTATAGAGATGATTTTAAGACAAAGTCTCTCAATCACATCTTTTCTTTTAAAAAAAATCTTTGTTGATTCATGTACATATTAATATTTTACTTATTTTATGTTCTCCGTGCCTTATAAAGATTATATATGTACATATTTGTTATTCCAAAGTTTTTGTTTTAATTTAAAAATAGAAAGCAGTTCTTTAAAAAGAAAATTAAACATGTTCTAAAGCACATGCTCTCCATGTTCTGTGTGCACAAAAACCAACTGTATCTTGTTAAAAATGTGAATATCCTCGGCCTCCTACCCCCAGCAGGTTGGTTCAAACTTAATTTTTAAGGAACATCCTCCAAGGAGCAAGGTTTTGCCCTATGATAAACAAGGGCCCCAGTGATTCAGCCTAAAATGAGGAGGTAATATAAGAGTGGTTGACTTGTTCTTCACGTTATCATAGGTAATAAATAGTGGGTATTCAGATATTTTCAAACCATTTGATAGGAGAAATAGATGACATCCTGACTCTTACTCTGCTGTTAGAAAATAATACTCTTTTCTCACCAACGTATTTCTCAGTGTATGAAACTGTAGTCCTTGCTGCCACCTCCCTGCCAGCATCTGTCACTGTGAATGATCTCAGTCTCTGCCCTTTCTTTCCAGATTTCCTTTGACTTAGCTGAGTACACTGCAGATGTTGACGGGGTTGGCACTCTGCGGCTTCTGGATGCAGTTAAGACCTGCGGCCTTATCAACTCTGTGAAGTTCTATCAGGCCTCAACAAGTGAACTTTATGGAAAAGTGCAGGAAATACCCCAGAAGGAGACCACCCCGTTCTATCCTCGGTCACCCTACGGTGAGAGCACATGTGCCTCTCTGTGCCTTTGTGCAGCATTCTCCATGGGTGGGTGTGTTCCTGAGTTCATTCTGCTGGTGTCTAACCACTGACGTCATTTAGGTGTGAGATTAACATTGAGATGGACTAAAATGACCGGACTTGTTGAGAAGCATACTTCTTCCAACTACAGGTTTTGCTGCCATTGCCTCCAGGGTGAAATTATGACCCCACTTCACCATCCATGTTCATTCAATCCTGCCACACAGATCACTTTAAAACTAAAATTAGATCCAACATGATTCTTTTTCTAAGTTGTTCTGAGATTGTGCTGAAGTGATAGGGCTTCAGGTTCTGTATTTCCTCCTGAACTCAAACCGTTAAAAAAGAAAAAAAAAAAAAACAAGAATTATGAGAGATGTAATATCTAGCATATTTGTAGAGAATATTCAGTACTTAAGTGATGAGATTTCAAAGCAGTTTGAATGTTAAGATACCCAGTGGTTTTTTTAATTCTTTAAAATTGAAAAAAAAAAGAGTGCAAGATCTAAGAGTGCTAAACTTGATTTATTCCACACAATATAGTTGAATCAATTAGATGGTGAAAGAGTAAGTTACAGGTATCAGAAAAGTAGGAAATTATTAACTATTTCCTGATGAACAGGATTAACTGTCATAGGAACCTGTATTGACTTTTGATTCATATGTTTGTCATTTTCATGGCAAATTATAATTTTTGCAAGTATTTACTATTTAAGGTGGCTTAGAATCATTTTCTTTCATAACAACTTTATCTTTAAAATTTATTCTAACAGGGGCAGCAAAACTCTATGCCTATTGGATTGTGGTGAACTTCCGAGAAGCATATAATCTCTTTGCAGTGAATGGCATTCTTTTCAATCATGAGAGTCCCAGAAGAGGTTAGTGAATGTAGTTTCTGTTATAAATGTTAGAGGTGATAGATGAAGAAATGGAAATCTGGCTTTAATTAATAATCACATTTATGGGTTTTTTTAAATATATAAGAAAAACTGAACAGTGTTCCAATTTTAGTGTTTTTATTAGTAGTTTTTATCAGGAATGTTTCCAACCTAAGCATTAGGAAGTTTCCATATGAATGCAAAGGAATAAGGAGTAAATTAATCTTTGTTTCTGGAAGTCACTTCTATTCACAAAGACTCAACCAGTTGGATAGTCAGTATTTTTTCTTTATGTTCCATTAAACATACACCTCAGAAATTACAGTGCTTCTAGAAATCAGTTCTTAGAGTTAGAAGCATTAACTTTTTTTTTTTTTTTAACAGCACTGGGGGTTGAACTCAGGGTTTCATGATTGCTAGGCAGGCGCTGCTACTTGAGCCACTCTACCAGCCCTGATTTTGTGTTGAGTATTTTCGAGATTGATAGGTCTCTCGAACTATTTACCCTGTGGCTGGCTTCAAACCTTGATCTTCCTGATCTCTGCCTCTTGAGTACCTAGGATTACAGGCATGAGCCACAAGTGCCTGTCTCTCTCTCTCTCTCTCTTATTTTAATTTTATCTGTTTGTGTTGGCTTGTTGCCTTTTCATAGTTGTCATTAAGACTGTGTAACCAAATGGTAGCTTTCTTATAATCAGCATTAGGTTTTAAATAAGAAGATACATACTCCCATCCTTATTTCTCTTTAGTGAAGTGTGAGAAATCATAACCAAGTATTTGCACTTTTTTTTTGCAAAAAAACCCTTAAAACTTGAAAATTAATTTTCAAACTAAGTTAATCTGGAAGATTAACTTAATATTTAAGCTAATATTAAAGATTGTTTTCTGAAACTTCTTTGAGTTATATTCAGCTGGGAATAGAACTTAGGGCCTCACACATATATACCCTTTATAACATAAAAATTATCAGTATATTGCAAGAAATTTTAGTAAACTTTTTGGCTATCTTTTAGTCTGAGAATACACTGGAAGCCCAATGGATAAGTTGTTTCTTGTCCCAAAACAAGTAATACTTTATAACTTTTTTAGGGAAACTTTATGTGACTATATAGCCACCTAATTAAACCAACAAGTCATGAAGAAAGATTAAAGTGATAGGCTTATAAAGGTATCTTTAGCGTCAGTACATTTTTATTTTATAATTGCTTAAGTTAAAAATGCCCCTGGTGGGTTGTTAAAGCATAAGACACTGGCCTGTCATTTCTGTTGCTGGAGCAGCCAAAAACATTTCTTAATTAAATTTGTGGTTCTGAGTTTTGCTGGTAATGGAAAAGGAAAAGAAAGGTCCTAGCTGACCTTGACAGCAGCATCTGATATCTGGGGCACTCAAGGTAGGATTCTGTTCAGTGAATGGTAATCACTGCCTCTTTTCTTACAAATGTGTTTCTACACATTGTTAGCTTCCTATATTCTTCCCTCTTCAACTTTTCCACCTGAGAAAAAAGGTAAAAGTTGTTGTGAATCAGGTTAGGAAAGAGAAAAGCATTCTTAAGTTATAGAGTAAAAAGAGAGGTTTAAATATAACACCCCTGCTAATCCTCTATAGCTCCTGATAAGAGAGAACCATTTCTTTTTTTTTGATCAATGTTATTTACTTTCTTTTAAGGAAATTTTAAGTAATTCTTCTTTATTTAAAAGAAAATTAAAGGAGGGTATAAGAAGAAAAGAAAAATTTTCTTCACATTCCCTCCCATATCCTCAGACCCAGTGTTAGCATCTCTTCAGAAGTGTGTCTTCAGACCTGCAAAGAGAATTATTCCATGTGTATTGTTGTGCATCTTGGATGTCTGCTTAGTATTTGTTAATAACTTGACCTTGTAGCACACACCTTTTTGTATCTTTTTGTTAAATATCTGGAAATCAATGTTGCTCCATTTTTTTACTCCACTTATATAATCACATAATTAAAATATATAGACGTATATGTGACAGTGGTATTAGTACTTTGATAAACTATCTAATACTTGATATTTACAGCATTTCTTAAAACCTGAAAATTAATTTTCAAACTAAGTTAATCTGGAAGATTAACTTGATCTTTAAACTAATGTTAAAGATTGTTTTCTGAAACTTGTTTGACAGACAGAATCCTAGTGGCAAGTCCATGTTGTGTTCTTAAAGCTCCAGCTTCTAAAGCACTGCCTACCTGTGAATAGACATTCAGTAAATACTCTTAAATGAATGGATGAATTGATTAATTAAGTCTTATGTTCCAGTAAAACTTTATTGACTTAAAAGTTAGGTGATCCAAGTTAGAAAATAGTAAAAATTCATAAAGTTTAAAATGAATATTGTCTTGTTGATTGCACACATATAGAAGTTAAAGCTAATAAACTATTTTGAAATAATGATTCGATCTGATATGCTTTAATAAATAGCTAAAAAGCTGATTTTTAATAATCCTCGCTTGCATACCACAATTTGTAATTTGTACATTTATTTTCATAAGCTGGTTGAGCATCAGTTCTGTTGCATCCTATTATAGGGAACAAGCACTTTTTCTCTAGATGGAGCACTGATAAACATCAGTCTAGTCCAAGGTATAGTCACAAATGCCCACTGAATAGAGCCCAAGTTGGCATAGTTTGGGGGAAACATATACTTTTTCTCTAGTGAAGAATAATTGATAATGTGTTTTTCAATAGCATGAATAACATTCCATGAGAGTTTCTGACTTGAAAAATTATGGAAGAAGTATTTTTTAGACTAGAAGATGGCAATCTATGGATCATGGGCCAAATCTAGCCCATCAAACTATTTTTTGTAAGTAAAATGTTATTGGAACAGAGCCAGGTTTTTTTTTTTTTTTAATATATAGTGTATGACTGCTTTTATACTACCAAGTCCCGTAGCCCACAAAGCCTAAAATATTTACTGTCTGGACCTTTAAGAAAGCCTTTGCTGGCTCCAGCTATAGATCTGTAGGTCCTCAACAGCCAAGAAACTTTCAGTTGGGTTTATTATAGATTTCTCCCAAGTAGCAAGGTAGTTTTTAGGAAGATTTCCAATGAATGCTAAAGTCCTAGAGTCAGTAATGGCCAGCCCTTTTACTTATCTCTAGAAGTATTTTTGTCATTTGGAGTTCTGTTGTCCTTTATATGACCTTGGGCTCTAAAGAAAGTGTAGAACCAAACAAGCTAGTACCTGGCCAAATGTCTGTAGCATAGCTCCCCATAGCCACCCCAGCTCCTGCGTTTTGTTACTTCCTCATTCTGTTTTCACGGTCTTCCCCATTTCAATCCTTTTGGCTTTCTTTCAAGACTTTATTTAGTTAGGTTTTCTTTTAAATATATTTGTGTTGCTAGGAGAACCTATGCTACATGTAGAGATAGTCTAAATTACCTACGATTGCATAGAATCAGCAGTAGGAAATCATTGATCTGTGGAAGAAAGCCAGTGATCCAATAGCTTGGCCTCTGTGTTCCTGTCAGCCATCCAGTCACCCTTTCAATGAGAGTAAGATGATCAATGCTCTCATGCTTTAGGTTTGCTTTATATAAGGTACAAACACATTAGTAATATTCACTGTAGTTATGCTAATGGATAATAAGTAAAATTTTAGAACTGTATATCCATGAGGAATGAAAATGTATTAGCATGTTTTGAGAATAATTATTTACTATGTTTTACATACTCATATTCACAAATAGTAACAGTATTCTTATTCATAAGCATTACATTTTTAAATAAAAAATACTATTCGTTTGTTAAAGAGTAAATGCTTTGTTTCATAAATAAGTTGTACAAAGCTGCTCATGTATTTGGAAAACTTTCTCCTATCATATTGTTTCCTCAAACTTGAAATTCTGTCCCTACTGCTTCTGGTTGTAGAATAACACATAATCTTTGTCTTTATATTTACATTTCCTTTTGCCACACATGTGACTGTGATGACACCTTTCTGCTGGAAATGTTAAGTTATATATTATCTGTTCAGGAAAAAAGATAGTGTTTATTATCTGGAGCTATTTAATTTTTGCAAGGAAATTGACATATACAATTTTTTGCCTTTGTTAAATTTCTTTAAAAAGTAATATTAAATATGACTGTGATGTCAGTTATATAAGTTATGGGGAAAATATGTAAAGATTTTTAATTAAAGTTTCTTATTAATAAGCATATTTGAATTTTTCTTTTCAAATATGTAACTTGCCAATAATAAAATCTACCCATAACTTTATTATTTTACAAATTAAAACATTAAAAACAATGTTATTTAATAAACTAACAAAAATGTTTCAGTTTTGATTATTATATTGGAAGGTAAAGTTAAAAAATACCTATTTGTCACCTAATAATATAATCAGTTTGCTAATTATGTCTTAATTCTTAGCATATTAGCAGAGTATTTTGGCATATTATGGGTGCAAATTTGGTGACGTGTAAGAAATTGTAAGTAAGATTAACAAAAGTTTATTCCAAATAAAATAAAACATTTTGCATGATAATTAAAGGGAGGCAAAAAAAAAAAAGACATCCTAACTTATAGTCCATAAGATTAAAAATCAACTGTTCAAGTTAAAATTGATTTTCTGACTTTGATGACTATGGTCATAATGAGTAGAGGTTGAAATACACATAATACTGTGTGGTTTTGGGTTTTGAATGTGATTTTTTTTTTCTGTTTTCAATGGAATTAGAGACTTAGGTTTCCCTCAGATAAAGAGTGACTGAGGTTTCTGGGAAACTTGCCAAGATCCAGTTGTAGAGGAGAAAGGCTAAAAGTGTGCCCAGTGGAAAGTTCCCTGACTGCTCAGAGTGCCCAGTCAGTGCTTACACTGTGAAGACCCTGGCTTACCTCTGATTGCCAGGTGTTCCATGAAGATGTTTTTCTTATGTTGACACACCTTAGTCTTTTGATAATTAGGAAAGTGTGTGCTGTATACTGACTTGTTACTTCCAGAATTGACTGAGACGATTAGTTTGACTATGTGAACCTA